AAGTTGAGTGGTGGTCATTCCTATATATGAAGAAGTTTGGTGCACATAGTTACCAATGGGACAGGAAAATTCATATATAAGATGACTATTTTTCATGATGGAATTTTTGTTGGGTTGACAGTTATTTTTGATTATCATGTGTGGTAAATTTGTAAAAAAGGTAAATTTGTTTTTGCTAACATATTGTTATCATTTGTTTAATAGATTCTAATATATATCAGTTACTACCCCTTGTGGAAGAATACCAAATCATGGTAGTAAAAAAAAAATGTGAAGAATTTTTGCTGACTAAAATGGGTAATATGGAGCTTCTAGTTACAGCTCAACAACACATATAACATTATAGAAACAACACATAATACAATATTAACACGTTCAATTCTTGACAATAACACAAATGTTCTTTACAAAAACTCCGATTATTTCACCTTAAAGATAGCCGAAGCCATATTAATAAAAATAAAAAATCCAAAATTAAATGTTCAGCTACAAAGTATAACAGTACTTCCGACTCACAAGCAGTTATCTAAACTAATTAATAATTCTTTCACCACCAATAACAACTACGTTACCACCACCAACAACCATGTTACTACGATTGTTGTTTTTGTAGTTTTCGTGGGTTCCAGATCAGCGTGCAAAGTAATGTGAATAGGGAGATGGTCAGAAGACAAGGTGGTAAGTACGGACCAGTCCATAGAAGATATCAGGGAATCTGATGCTATCGAGACATCAGGAGAAGTTGGCTGGCTGTTGTTGGGGAGACGGGTCGGAGAATCAAGATTTAACGAACCGCAATCAGAGTCATCGATCTCGACTGCCAGTGCTTCACCTCGCGCGTCCTGAATGTTGGAGTCGTGAGCATTCAGGTCACCCATTAAAATAGTATTCGGATTGGATAGAAGGTCGGAGACAGAGGCTGTGAAGTGTGACGGGCAGACCGATTGAGGAGGTATGTATTAAGGTAATGACAATCGTGAATTTCAATAAGGCCAACTAGGCCAGATACACTGTAGAGACCAAAACTGCCTTCGCAAAATCTGTATCTCCCAATGACCCTTCGGCAGCTGAGAAATTGTTTCGTCACATCTTGTCGTTCGCCAGCGCTCGCAACATTCTTTCAGGAAGGAGAATTCTCTCACGACCAGGGCTGTCCAGAGAAATCACGGACCTCATGGTTCAACGAGACAGTCTCAGATCCTTGGACCCTACTTCAGACAACATCAACTCTCTCTCAACTGTCATTCAACAAAAAATCAATAATCTAAAGCTCACCCGCTGGAAGGAATACCTGAGCACATTCAATAAATCCACCAACACAAACCGCTTATGGTCCACCATCAAGGCTCTCAACGGTAAGCCTAAACAATACCCAAATAATGCCATCACTTTCAATAACAAACAAATAACAGATAATAAACAGATGGCCAACCTATTCAATAAAACCTTTACCTCATTCAAAACACACATCGACAAATTAAATAGATTCACAACCAGGACCATCAAGAACCTCCCTCTTGACGACCATCAAATCTTTACCCCAGATCAAGTATCAACGGCCATCAAACAATCCAAGCCCTCGAAAGCCTCCGGCCCCGACAACCTCACCATCATACATCTCAAACATTTAGGTCCTCTAGGTATTTCCTTCCTCACCAACATCTTCAATAGCTCCCTGAATACATGTAAAATTCCCGACATCTATGAAAAAGCGAAAATCATCCCTCTGTTAAAACCTGGAAAACCAGATAGCGACTCAAAATCATACAGGCCAATATCGTTACTCTGCCCAGTCGTCAAGATCCTTGAAAAATGCCTTCTCCCAATCCTATCAAAGCATCTAACTTTGGCGGATCATCAACACGGTTTCCGTCCAAACTACTCAACAACCTCTGCTCTCACCACGATAACAAACGATATCGCAAATGGCCTTAATCACAAAAGACCAGCTCATCGCACCGTTCTTGGCGCCCTAGACCTCTCTAAGGCCTTCGACACGGTCAGCCACCGTATTCTGCTCTCGGATCTTTTAACCACAACACTCCCAAGATCTGTTATACGCTGGATGTCAAACTACCTGCACGGACGTACCGCATCAACCACATTTCGACAACAGCACTCCAAATAACGAATCATCCACACAGAAGTGCTTCAAGGCTCAGTGTTGTCCCCCTCACTTTTCAACTTTTATGTCTCAAAAACACCTGCACCACCCCCGGACATCAAAATCATCTCATATGCGGATGACTTCTCTATCTACTCTACAGGTCCAGATGCAGCTGTTTTGACCCGGCGGCTTAACAGTTATCAGACGGAGTTATATGACTTTTTCCACAACCGTAATTTGGAGATCTCAACATCCAAATCCACAATAACACTCTTTACCTCTTACACATCTCAATACCATTATCACCCGCAAGTCAAAATCAATAACCAAACTCTTCCTCTAGAGCATAACCCAAAAATTCTAGGCTTTACCTTTGACACGATGCTCTCCTTCTCGCAGCATCACAAGATGTCAGCTTCTAAGGCCTCTAAGCGAAACTCAATTTTAAAAGCTCTCAGTGGAACCACCTATGGCGAAGACAAGGAAACATTAATGCAAACATACAAGGCGATTGGCCGATCAGTTATTGAGTATGCCTGCCCGGCCTGGTTTCCACTGACTTCCGACACAAGCTACCACAGACTTACAACGCTCACAAAACGCTGCTTTACGGGTAATCACCGGATGTCACGGAATAGTATCGGAACAACATCTCCACTCTGAATGCCAGATGCTATCAGTAAAGCAGCATACTGACCTACTATCATCTCAATTCCTTTTACAATGCCATAATACCAGTCACCCTTGCCACCACATCATAAGAGAACCACGACCCGACAGAAATATAAAACACACATTATTCAGCAAATATGTACAGACAGTGCAAACCGTTCTGCCCACAGATACCGACAGCAGAGCGTTAAAGGCAGCTTCATCTGCCTTGCATTGCAGTGCTGCAAAACTCGCCTCGGAGACATATCATGCCGCTGTGCTGCTCAACGGATGGCCACCTCCAACACCCAAAATAGACAAGGCAGAGGAGAGTTTGCCCAGGGCGTTGAGAAGAAAACTGGCCCAGCTCCGCTCTGGTCACTGCATCTCCCTCAACAGCTACAGATCGAAAATAGACAGTGGGGTCAGCAACATCTGTCCAATATACCAGTTACTTCCTGATGATGTTCCCCATCTCTTCAGCTGCCCAAAGAACCCAACTCATTTCACGATAATAGATCTCTGGCGTAATCCGGTGGCCGTGGCTAACTGGCTACGGCCTCGTCTGGATCCCTCCAAAGATGTCTGACGCAGGGCAACAACAACAACCATGTTACTACCAACAACAATGTTAACCATGTTAGAGATGCCAACGACCATGACCACAACACCAACAATAATGTTAATAATTGCAGCAACAACACCAATACTAATGTTAACAACAACATCATCATTGTCAATAACAACAACAACAATAACAACAGCAACAACAATAACAACAACAACAGCAACAATAACAACAACAATAGTAATAATAATGATAATAACAACAATAACAACAGCAACAACAACAACTACAACAACAATAGTAATAATAATAATAATAACTATAACAATGATAATAATATAAACTTGGAAACATGAATATTGAAGTATGATGATATGGCTGATTTTTGTTTTTTATTTGTTGATTTACTTTATGGTCGTTTTTTCAGCAATTTTAAAATTTTAATTTTAATTTATTTTGTTTAATTGTAATATATATCTATGTAAATAATTTTAAGTTAATTTTATCAATATGTTAAATATATAGTATATAATAATTAATAATAGTATTTTCAAAAATGTTTCGCGCTTAAAATTAAGTTATACGGTATGACGTCATTTGTTTATAAACGGTAATTTTCGTTATTAAAATATTTTGCACTGACGATGATATATTTTATATCGAAAAAGCTTTCTGCAATTATTTATTTTAATAAACATGAACAATAATAATTTTATATATATATATATCATTCTTTTAAAAATGTTTATTATCATGTACTCAACTTGCAAAACACTTTACTGTAGTGAGCGTGTAACGCGCCTGAGTTATAACACTTAGGCACCCAACTTACATAAATTAAACGATAAAACGAGTGACCAAAGTAAATTTTTTTAGTTTTTGGTCCCCTTCGTCAAATTAAAAAATTTTTTACTCCCTAGTCAATGTCTAGATCTGCAGCTGCAAACAAGTGTGACACCCTGGCATTAGTTTTAAGTTATATTTATCAAAAGTAAAAGTGCAATTTCTTCAATCATTGGAAATTTGAAAAATTACCTTTCTAGATTTACATTCAGTGCAAAAATGTCCATAGCCTGATGCTAATTCGTTAATCACTCCAAACATTTTACTATCTCGTTCACTGTAAGCTTTTCTATCTTGCTCAACTAAACCTTCAAGATTTAAAACGCGAAGTTGCAAAATGTTAATCAAATTTTCTTGTTCCAGATATTTGAAATGTGGATCTTTTTGAAGTTCTGAAAAGCTCTTTGATTTGACCTTAGTAAAAATAAATAAAATATAAATATAAATAAATAAAATTAAGTATACATATACTTAAGATTAAAGAATTGTAAAAATTGTTTAGAAGTTTGAAATTTCATTTAAAATTAATGAAAAAATATAAAAAAAAAAACATGCCAACTGACATGATCAATACATTTATTAAGAAGTTGCGTAAGTCTATATTGTTGAGCTGTAACTCGAAGCTCCATATTACCCATTTTAGTCAGCAAAAATTCTTCACATTTTTTTTTACTTCCATGATTTGGTATTCTTCCACAAGAGGCAGTAACTGATATACATTAGATTCTATTAAACAAATGATAACAATATGTTAGCAAAAACAAATTTACCTTTTTTTCAAAGTTTTTAAAGCTGAAATAAAATATTTTTTAATCTAGAGCTCAATTTTTATCTCAAGAGATAGTAAAAGTTAAAATTTATGAAAAAAAATCAAAAAGTTGTTTATTGTGAATTAAAAATTACATTTAGACATTTAAAAGTCAGGAGTAGTGTAAAATAAAATGGTTATCACCAAACAGGTGTGGAAAGCCCATATAGAAAAGTTGATAAATGAAGAGAATGAGTGAGATGGAGATGTGGAATCCGCGGTCACACACGGACCCATAGAAAAAGTGACGATGGAGGAAGTAGAAAAAGCAGTTAGAGAAATGAAACTAGGTAAAGCGACAGGGGTTTCGAAAGTGGCGGCGGAACATATAAAAACGAGTGGGGTGATAGGAATTGAAGTTATGATGAGAATTGCTAACAGTATGTTTGATGTATACCTGAGGATTGGCGACACAGTGTGTTGGTGCCGTTGTATAAGGGCAAAAAAGATGTGAGAGATTGTGGGTCATATAGGGGTGTGAAGTTGCTTGAACATGAAATGAAGGTAGTGGAGAGGGTGCTTGAGAGGAGATTGAGAAATATGGTGACAGTTAATGAAATGCAGTGTGGGTTTATGCCTGGTAGGGGAACGGTGGATGCGTTGTTCATAGTGAGAATGTTGCAGGAGAATTATAGAAAGAAGAAACGAAGATTGTACATGTGTTTTGTGGATCTAGAAAAGGCTTTTGATCGAGTACTGAGGAAGGTCATTGAATGGGCGTTGAGGAAGAAAGGAGTGAATGAGAGACTTGTTAAAGCTGCGATGCAGTTGTATGATGGGGCGAAGACAAAGGTGAGGGTCGGAAGGGGGGTGTCGGACGCTTTTAATGTTAAGGTAGGAGTGCATCAAGGATCAGTGTTATCACCGTTTTTGTTTTAAATTGTGATGGATATTGTGTGTGGAAACATAATTGAGGGGTTGTTATTTGAGATTTTGTATGCAGATAATTTAGTCTTGATGGCTGATAGCATGGATTAATTGCAGTTAAAATTTGACAGATGGAAAAGTGTTATCGAAAAGAAATGGTTAAAAGTTAATATTGGTAAGACGAAGGTAATGGTGAGTGGGGAGGGTGGGGAGCGAGTGATAAGTAAAATAGACCCCTGTGGGGTATGTGACAGGAGAGTGAAGGCTAACTCGGTATTGTGTATAGGATGTCAGAAGTGGATGCATAAGAGATGTAGTGGTGTGAGGGGGGCACTAAAAAAGGTGGAAGGCACGTTCAAATGTAAAAAATGTATTCATGGTGTGATTAATAGGACGGACGCAAGGACAGGGTTGAGTGGTGGTATTGAAAAAGTGGAAAGCTTTGTTTATTTAGGGGTTAAGCTGAACACGGATGGAGGATGTTTGAACGCTGTTACGGCTAGAGTTCGTGTTGAATGGATGAAATTTAGAGAACTGGGTGGGGTATTGTGTGGAAAGAAATGGTCAGTGAAAATGAAAGGGAGGGTATATAAAGCATGTGTGAAAGCAGCGATGGTATATGGTGGTGAAACTTGGGTGTTAAGGAGAGAGGAGGAAAGTGTACTGCAGAGGGCGGAAAGAGCTATGGTGAAGATGATGTGTGGGGTTAAAGTGAAGGTTAGGAGGAGTAGTACAGAGCTGATGTCGATGATGGGACTGAATGAGGACATTGTGACATTGATAAGGAGATCGAGATTGCGGTGGTATGGACATTTGTTGAAAAGGGATGAAAGGGTCGGGATTAGGCGAGCGTTGGAGTTCGAGGTTGAAGAAGTGATAGGAAGGGGTCTCAGCGATTGGGATGGAGAGAGCAGGTGGAGAAAGACAGAGTGAAAGCGGGGATGCGTTACACTGAGGCGATTGACAGATGTGAATGGCGTCGATGGGTATTTCAGTTTCATCATAGGTAGCCAAAAAACAACCCCGATCTTGGGGAAAATGTCGTCTAAATGTGTGTTGTTTATCACCAAACATCAAAAATTGATAATGATATGTTAAAAATTAATATACATTAAGATTAAATTTTAATAAAAATTAAAAAAAATTGAAATTGATATTTCACAGAAATATTTTAGAATAAATAACAAATTTTAAATTTAAACCATTGACTTGTTTGATGGGAGGGTACATACAATGCAACAATTCTACAAACTCATCTAATTTTTTATGTGGTAAACAAACCACGTCGTCATTTTTTTCTTTGAAATGTCCCATAAACATTGACTTGAAAACAGGAGACCATATGGCTAAAATCTCCTTGTGAACATATAAAAATTGTCTTTCAACCTCTAAAACAATATAGGATAATGGATCTCGAATTGTAAAATCTATAGTTTCTTGGTCCATGTTAAATGTGCTAAACTAAACGTGACCAGCCTTATCTTTTCAATGACTTGATATAAAATATTTTTAATACTGACGAGTCAAAAATAATTTTATTTCAATGAATTAATGAATAGACTTATAATATTTTATAAAATTTATAAAAAATCTAAATATCAATTATTATTATCAAAATAAGGAAGGAATAAAACAATTTATGGCAAAACCTTAGGATGGTACTGGGAAATTCCATAAAATAGTAAACAAAGAGTTAAAAATAAATCTAGCTTAATTTGCGCCATTTAGCTCCTCCCCCTTTTTAATAGCCGTTGCCTTTGTTGTGATGTAATCATGGATATATATAAATATATATTTGTGTATATATATGTATATATGGATGTAATGAATGTTTAAAAGCGCAATTTTTAATTTTTCTTGTCTTGTAAAATAATAAATGATATTTAAGGCGGTTAATTTTTCGTCTTTTTTAAAAATGTTATTTAAAAATTTTATAATTTACGAGTGCAAGCCAAAACACTTTTTTAGGAGTTCATGATTTTATTTTATCGTAATAAATGAAATATTTTATCGTAATACAATTTAATTTATTAAAAAATACGATTAAAATTATGTGAAATGGATATATATTTTTGTATATAGATATGTATATAACTATATATGGATGTAATAAAATGCGTGTGCGTTAGCGTGTGCGATTTATTTGCCCAATACAAATGTTATAAAATTAATCCGTACTATCAATTATCACCATTTACACATACACACACACAAAATATCTATTATTGAAAATTATTTAAAAATTAATAATAAATTAAAATGATTGAAAAAGTATCTTTTCTTGTTTTCGTCTTGCTATCTAATAAACATAAATATTAAAAAGGGGGAGGAGCTACATGAGGAAAAATAGCTGGATTTATTTTTAACTCTTTGGTTACCTTTTTATGGAATTTTCCAGTACCATCCTAAGATTTTGCCACAATTTATCTTAAAAAAATTATTATTTTTTAAAATATAACAAAATAGGGCACAGAATGATATGAAGGTAATGTTCGTGACGGTTTCGGCGACGGTTTCGGCGACGATGAAGCATATCTAACAGGTGGAGCCAATCATGTCAAATTGGCTGAACAGTTTGAACTAATATAGGTAAAATAGTTTGAAACTACGCTTCTGTTGTTTACATAGAATAATATTGAAAACTTTAAATTTGGCTCCGCCCTTCATTTATATTCATGACCAACCAAAGCGCTTCATTTTATTGTAATAAATTATTAAACAAATAATTAAAAAAATTATATCTTAAAATGTTTATTAATAATTTTGATGCCAAATAAAATAAGGCCAAATATTAAAACTGAAATTAAAAAAATAAAATATGGATTAAGTTTACATGTTATAGTTAAGCTGTGCAATCTCTTACATGAAAGAGCTTTAATATAGAAACAAAATTATTTTTTGTTTTTCCTTTTGCTATTTCTTCTTTCCTTGTTCAATTGCATTTATTTATATTTTTCATTAATAAAAATTTATCGGTTAGCCCCGGACACATCGTTCAGATAAATGAAAGCTGCATCTCATCTGCAAAAAGATTGAGGAACCGAAATGCACGTCCAGTTAGGACACGCTAGGTTTTTGGAGGCATCGATACGCAAACAAAAGATGCCTTTCTGGTGGAAGTAGATAAACGAGATGCTGCTCGGTTGGTTCCATAAAGTTTAATATTTTAAAAATCATTTTTGTTGGTTATGAAATAAAGTTCGATTTTAATAATTTTAGGTACAACAGTTTGGATGGATCATTGGGCTGCTTATAACAGTATAACAGCCGTAACCGGTTTAGCCCACCAAACCGTAAATCACTCCATTACATTTTGGGCCGTAAACGGATTGCACACAAATAGAGTGGAGAATTTGTGGCGATGCGCCAAACAAAAATTTAAAACAATGAATGTTACGTGCAATGCTCACGTACAATCATACCTTGACGAATTTATGTGGCTGCGCACCATAGGAGATAGAAAAAAGCGGTTCCAAAAGCCCTTGAACTTATACGACATTATTATTTATTTAAAATTTTGAAATTTTTTTGTATTTTTTTTATTAACTAATGATAATTATTAGAAGATACTTCTGTTTTCTTTTTTATATGAAAATATAATGTGCAAATAAAATTACAAATAGTTTTCATGTTTATAACATATTTTAAAAATAATAAATAATGATATTAGAATTTCATTAAAAATTACAAATATATACAATACAAATTGAAAAAAATAAAGCGCTTCGGTCAGTCATGAATATTAATGAAGGGCGGAGCCAAATTTAAAGTTTTCAATATTATTCTATGTAAACAACAGAAGCGCGGTTTCATACTATTTTTAAATAATATTTTCGTTAAATAATATTACACGGAGTAATTAAAAATTAATTTTTGTAGCATAAACATCTGCGTCCTGTTAAAATTTTGAAACGATATGATTTCGGAAACGGTGAAGCATATTTAACAGGCGAACTCAATCATGTCAAATCGGCTGAACAGTTTGACCTAATAAATTTTTGTTTAACAAAAATAAACGGAATTATTACAAATTAATTTTGTTACATAAAAATCTGCGTCCCGTTATTTTTTTCAAATGATACGGTTTGACGCCGTCAAATTTAACGATAAATAGCGATACGATAACAATACGATAACGAGGTATTAAAGACTATATAATAGCATCATGTGCATGAGTATGTGTATGTGTATTTGAACCAGGACATCGCGCAATAACAATGACGCTTGGCACGTTTACAGTCTGCCCTAAATTGTTTTCCCGCCAACTCCGCTTTATAAAATGTACTGTATTAAAACAGAAAACATTCATTCAATTAAAAAATTAAACAAAAATTACCTTTCTTTTTGCTAACAGTTTTTTATGCACTTATATCGATTCAACACATTGTAATAACGATACGAGACTAAAAATTTTTTTCCGTATTTTTGATTTGATACGAGACTTTTTTGGAGAATGTCTCGTTTTAATAGCGATACGATATTTTTAAGTCGTTATAAAATCAAGGTCAATCAATTAGAAAAAATTAAATGATTTTTAAGTTTCGATTTTTTATAATTTTTTATTTTTTAACAATGTGCAACTGCATCATTTCTATATATTAAAATAATGGTTCGGGAAGAAAATTGTGTCTTGTGTTTTTTATTTCGATACGATAGACTTTCCTGAAAATGTCTTGTTTAAATAACGATTGGAGATTTCTAATATTGTCATAAAAGAATAAGAGATTTTTCGTATCGTTTTATAACGATATGAGATTTCTTTTATCGTTATTATTATTAAATCTCGATTGATAACGAAAATAACGGTTCGAGACGCAGGTGCATACTATTAGATTCTATATATTATTTTATTGACATTATAATACAATTTCAAAATTGTAAAGTAAATTATCGAATAATTTAAAATTGTGTTAAACTTACTTTAATTTATAAATTAATTTTAATGAACTCATTGAATCAAACAGAAACTGCAAAAAAGTACTGGACTTAATTATGGAAATTTTTGGTCCTTGTTTTTATCTCGCAAACAACCTAAGTGCACCACAGTTTTGAAGTTTCCTGCATCTGATGTGTTACAACGTCATTCTTGTTCTTGCTTGTAGTATAGTTTATAATTTGATCAACACAAAATGGCAATACCAGAGTAGAATACCGTGATTGTACTTTTTGGACTTTTTTAAATTTCAAATATTTTTTCAGGTTATGCTTTGAAATGGAATAAAAATTTTTTGAAAAACTTCTACAATTATGCTACATGTTTAAACTCTAATAGTTCTTTTTAAAAAATGTTAATGTTTTAATTCTCGTGTTTTTATTCGCGGCAGGCATTTTTTCTTTTTTTCAAACAAGTTATTTACTACAAATTTTTGTATCAGATCCCAGTTTTTTGCTGGCTTCTCTAAAAAAGAATTAAATTTATACTAATATAAATTGTTTTAATTTCACACGTAGTGGTAGTTGATGACTCAACTTCATTCATTGTTTCTTTTTCCCAAGGTGACATAGAAATAACATCACAAACAGACATTTTTCGTCCTGTTATGAAATTATGAAAAGAATCATAAAAAATAACGTCCAAGCAATCAACGAAAATGATAGTATTAAACAACTAATATACTACTCCTACCAAAGAACAGCATCTCCTGTGATGAAAAACAACTGTACTAGTAAATCAGAATCAATAATGGATCATAGCCATTTAATATATTTTTCCAAATGTAATATTGGTGAGTGCCACCATAATTCTGAATATATTGGTATGACGACGACTAATTTACCAAGAAGACTCACGATGCACGTACAAACTGGCGCTATAAAGAATCACATGAAAGGGAAACACAAAACTAAAATTTCTAGACAAATCCTGGACTACAATGTTGAAATCTTACATTACAATTTACGACTAGCCGAATCAATATTCATAGAACAAAGACATCCAATAATAAATATACAACAACGGGCAATTGGAATTTTTCCCACCAATAAATTTAGAAACAGAGAAATCATCGATAACGAAAACACGTAAAGTGTTATATTTATCGATAATGAAAACACATAAAAGTGTTATGTTTATCGATAATGAGAACACATAAAAGTGCTATATTTTACGATGTCGAAAAATTGTCAAACTAAATATTTTCTTTGGATAAACAAGGAACCAATAAATAGGCACAGTCATACATATAGAATATGTACATATATGAGAAATCAACATTATAAAGAATTTAGCGGCCGTTAATATGATGTGCGACCGGGGGCCGTAATAATGCAGAACTATAATTTTGAGAAGCATGGATAAAAAAGCGTTTAATTTTTAACTATATATAGGTTACATAAAAGTAAAAACTGTAGTTTTTTGCGACAAAATAATACAGTATATATTTAAAAAATATAACTTTAGAAATTATATTTGGGACAATTAAATTATGTAATATGATGAGCGACCG